CAGCTTCAATGCCTTGCTTCTAAACACTGATATAACACCATCCATGCCTATATATATATATGTATTACAGATTAATGCATCAGTTTGAAAATAGGCATGATCCACCTCATTTCACAACTAACATATCTACACATAGACGTTGCCTCAGTCAATGGAGAGAATCCAGTTCCAGAAATCAACAAATGGATTTTTGGGAGAGGATGTTAATCTTCATTTTCTGTTGTACCTCTTGTCTCATTAATATGTGCTGCAAATAAAAAGTAGTGCAGAGACCACTATTTTTATTAATGAATGATTCTGATTAATTCTAAAGTTAGCACTAATAATAAATTCCATTAATTAATTACAACCAGGGGCACAAAAAAATTTGTATCTGGGGATGTATTTGTAGCTTTATTTGTTAACTATAAACGTATGATTACTAAATATTTGTAGCTGATAGAATATGGTTATAGATTAGAACATGTAGTGAAATATTTAGATATGAATCTGAAATGGGTATGGATTCTCTACAAACTTGATTATAAAGAATACCTGCAATTAGTTAGATGAACTAAAATTATTGGAAGGAAAAAAAAGAGAAAGTAAAAAAGAAAAGGGGCGGTCTGAATGGTGCATGATAGCGCACGATTTTTGTGTGGCTATCTTGCGCCCCCGCCGAGATCTTAATGGCCAAGAAGAAGAAAAACAGCAGGAAAAAATCCTAGAGATTGGATTGAGAGCCTCAAAGATGATCTTGACGTCCTCTGATGATGGTGCTGACGATCGAAGTGAAGAAGATGATGAAGATTTCATCGTTATGGGATCGACTGGGCCAAAAGGGGGAAAGAAGTCAAAATCTATGTCTGAGATTTTGAATTCAGCAATTATTGTGTATCATCAAGGTCCTCCTCCTCTTTCAGGTGCTCAAGATCGTCTGCTATGGAAAACTATGCACAAAGAGTCTGAAAAAATTTAATACCTGAAGTTTGCCTGCTCAAGCCTGGATTATTCTTGTTTAAATTCAAGGGAAAAGATGAAAAGAATGAAATTCTATGTAAAGGTCCTTGGTTTTTTGGCTCAAGACCTCTTCTATTGAAGCCTTGGTCTAATGGTGAAGAAGTTGAAAAAATAAATGAATGTGTATATCCTATGTGGATACAACTTTCAGCTTTGAGGCTCAATTTGTGGAATGCAAAAAGTATTAGTAAAATTGTTAGTGCAATTGGGTGCCCTATTGCCACTGACAGATTAACTGCTAATAGGCAATGTTTGTCATATGCTAGGGTGTTAGACGAAGTTAACATGTCTTCCCCTCTCCCAGATCAAATCACTATTCAAGATCCAAAAGGGAAACAATTAATTCATTCAAAAAAATGATTTATGAGTTTAAGACTAAGTGGTGTGAACTGTGTAAACAAGTTGGACATGACACAAGTTCATGCAGGAGGCATGTCAGGACTCAAAAATGGATCCCTAAGCAAAATCAAAATATTGTGCCTGGTAATGCTATGAAGGAGAAGGAAAGCACTCAAAAAGTGAATGAAGTCCCTGATTCTCAGGTTCATGAGAAAGTTCATCAAAGATTGGAGATAAATAAAAGTTGGAACAATGGAATTCAAGATGTTCGGAATGAAGGCAATTTAAATGATATTCCTATACAGTTTGGCATTGGAAGTTCTCTGGGGAAAGATACTGAAGAAGCTCAAGGTTCATCAATACAAAAATCTGGACAGCAGGCAGTGCACAAGTTTGTGCATGTTGTGCATGTAAAGCAATCCAGAATTGGGGGAGTGTTAATTTTAAAGATTCATCTCAAGGGGATATCTCATGGAATAATGTTCAAAAAGGCAAAAGCAATAAGGTTGTCATTCCTACCAATTCATTTTCATATCTGGAGATCTTGGATATTGATCCCTCTTCTATTGACAAAGATGTAGGGGGAAAAGACAATGATGAACGTATCATTCTGGAATGTTAGAGGATTAAACAAGTCCTCTAAACAGCATTTTGTTAAGTTGTTTTTATCTCAATATCAGCTCTCTTTTCTAGCTTTGCTTGAAACAAAGATTAAGGGCAGTAAATTACAGCCTGTTACCAAAAACATTCCTAAAAACTAGAGATGGAATTCAAATGTCAGTAACCCTAGTGAAGCCAGAATTTTGATTATGTGGGATCCAAATATCATTGATATTCAAATTATTAATATATCAGAGAATTGTATCACAAGTAAAGTGAAGTCTTTGGATAGGAAAATGGACTGTATAATTTCCTCAATCTATGGTTTTAACCATTTGGAGGCTAGAAAGGATTTATAGCTTGAATTAAGAGTACTACAGCAATCAATAGGGGATGATTTGTGGCTTCTATGTGGTGATTTCAATAATGTCATTAGTAATGAAGAAAAACTTGGTGGTTCAATGCTGACAGAAAATGACATTAAGGATTTCAAAGATTTTATTGATGATTGTCATTTAAACCATCTTAAAACTATAGGTTGCTTCTATACCTGGAATAATAAACAAGATCATGATTCTAGAGTATGGAGCAGATTGGATAGAGCTCTGGTGAATGATGCTTGGGTCAACATGTATACTTCAAGCCAGGTAGAATTTTTACTCCCAAACTTTTCAGATCATTCCCCTGCTTTGGTATCAGTTTATGATGATTGCTTAAGAGGGAGGAAGCCATTCAAGCTCTTAAAAATGTGGAAAAAAAACATGAAAGTTTCCTCCCAACGGTGTCTACAATATGGCAAACAAAGATAGAAGGATACAACATGTTCTCAATTTGTAAAAAGCTTAAACAACTGACGGGAGCTCTTAAGGATATTAACAAGCAGCATTATCACAATATTAGTGAGCAGGTTCAAAGAGCTAGAATTGTATTTGAAGAAGCTCAAGGGAATTTACATACAAGCCCCCTTGACCCTGAGTTCATCTCAAAAGAAAGAGAGTGCATTGCTACCTACAACAAACTCCTGGATTGTGAACTTTCTTTCATCTAGCAAAAAGCAAGGATCAATTAGAGTGTCAAAGGGGATAGATGCACTAATTTTTTTCACTCTGCAATTAAATCCAATAGACACCATAATAAGGTGTTGGTGATGTACAATGGCTTGGGTCAAAGAATCTCTGATCAAGAAGTGATTGCCAGAGAATTGGTGTCTTTTTACAAAGACTTAATAGGGAAAGTTTCTGATACTCTGACACCTGACATTCAAACCATTAAATCTGGGCCCTGCTTGAATGATTCACAAGCTAATCTTCTTTTCAATCTAGTTTCAAAGGATGAAATAAAAAAAAACATTTTTTTAATGGATGATAACAAGGCCCCAGGCCCTGATGGATATAGTGTAGCATTCTACAAATCAGCTTGGCCTATTATTGGAGAGGAGGTCTCATTAGATATAGAGGAGTTCTTCAAAAATGGGAAACTACTGGGTAAACTCAACTACCATCTCCCTTATACCTAAGGTAAAATGTCATAAGTCACCTTTTGATTTCAGACTCATCTCCTGCTACAATTGCCTCTATAAATTCATCTCTAAAATTCTGACCAATAGAATTAAGCCTATTATGGGCGCATTGTGAATGAAGCTCAAAGTGCTTTTGTCAAAGGTAGACAGATTATAAGTAACATCTCTTTGGCTCATGAGCTTGCTAAAAGTTATAACAGGAAGAACATTTCACCATGGGTCATGTTGAACATAGACATAAGAAAAGCCTTTGATACAATTAACTAGAATTTCTTGAAAGAGATGCTAAAAGGGCTGGGGTTTCCTATAGTGGTGATTAACTGGATCATGGCATGTATTTCTTCACCTAAATATTCTATATCTCTCAATGGCTCTCTCATGGTTATTTTAAAGGTGAAAGAGGATTAATGCAAGGTGATCCCCTCTCTCCATATCTCTTCATTCTGGGCATGAAGTAACTATCCAGGAGATTAAATCAGTTGATGAATGATAGGTTATTCAGATACCATCCAAAGTGTAAAACTCTCAAAATAACTCATCTAATTTTTGTGTATGATTTATTACTTTTTGCCAAAGAAGACTTGTACTCAGTTCAAAAGCTCTATTAATGTGTCAAGGGTTTTTGTGACACCACAGGGCTGGAAGCAAATTTGGACAAGTGCTCTATATATTATGGTGGTGTGAATGATTCTGTCAAAACAGATATCCATTGATTCCTAGGATTTACTGAAGGAACAATTCCATTCAGATATCTAGGTGTTCCCTTTATCCATAAACGACTTACATATGTTGATTGCTATCTACTCATCGATTCAATATCAGGCCAATTTCAGAAGTGGTTAGAACATAAGAACCTTTCTTACGCAGAGAGATTACAAGTCATTAAGAGTGTGATTTTGGGGGTTCAAAATTATTGGGCTTCTAATTTCATTCTTCCTGTTAAAGTCACAATGAAGATGGATGAGTTGTGTAGGAAGTTCTTATGGGGGAAGACTGAAAATTCTTTTTGAACTTCATTGGTTTCATGGGATAAGGTTTGCTGTGGAAAAAAAAACAAGGAGGGTTAGGTGTGTCCTCTGCATCTAAATGGCATCTTGCTTCAGCTTTGAGAAGCATGTCGTAACATTCATGTTAACAAAGATTTTATGGATCAAATGGATTCATGGGAATTACCTAAAACACTTGGATGTTTGGTATGTAAATGCTAGAACTGGGGACTCTTGGATGTGGAAGCAGTTGATTAAAATCAGGGATAAAGCAGTGAATGCTTGTGGTGGTGTGAATAATTTGAAGCAAATTCTTAATTCTTGCTACAATGGCTCAAAGATCCAGATATCTGATGTGTATACTTGTTTCTCCCCTATTTCTCAAAGAGTTCCCTGGTTTAAAACTATTTGGGGGAAGATGAACTACCCAAAGTATTCATTTGTGTTTTGGCTTGCTGTACAGAACAAATTACTCACTCAGGATAGATTAATAAGGAGAGGGGTTATCAATACAAACACACAATATCTATGTGCTGGTGCAAGTCTTGAGAGCCGCAACCACCTGTTTTTTATTGTTGTTCTCAAGAGAAGTGTGGATTGCTATTATGGATTGGCTCAAGTTTGATTAGCAAGCTTGTGACTGGAATATTCTTATGAACTAGTTTAATACAAGACTAAGAGGTAAATGGTTCAAACAGAATATGAAGAGGATGGCTATATTGACTATAATTTACAGTGTTTGGAGGGAAAGGAATGTCAGGTTTTTCCAGCAGAGGTGTAGAAGCTCAATGCACTTGGTTAAGGATATCAAAACTAATATCTTAACCATATACCTGAATAATCCTATTCTAGCCAAAAATAGAGATTAGCTTTTATCTTTGTAAGAATTAGAAAGTCTTCTTGTTAGAAATTTTGTTAGCCTTCTCTTTGTAGAGATCTTAATGTACAAAACATTTTCAAATTTGGTAAATGAATAAAGTTTTTCATTGACCAAAAACACCTAATAGTATTAGCTTATATCAATGAGTCCCACAACTAAAAGTATTTTTATATTATTTAGATAATTAATATCATATGGGGTCCACTAAGTCAAGAGTTTTGATTGTTGAGTTGTAAAGAATCTCGACAATCAAGAATATATAGGATCTTTACCCATCTATTCAAATATATGTTGATCAGAAAGTTATGATTGTTATGAATCTTAGGATTAAAGGATCTGAGGTTAATTTTAATGATCAGAGCTCTAATCTTAGCTTTCTGGATATAACCAACATATTAGTTAGATCTTTTATATCATATGAACTATATTTGTGATGTAGCATTCGTCAGTCCAATCGAGCAGTCAATGTGAGTGAAGATGGGTTGACCCGTCATTGTGGGCTCTGCCACCGTGTGTGGCTAACGTATGTTGATCGGGTCAATCCCGCACGTCAACGTAGGTCGATCAGCCAGCCATGCCCATTGACATGTGGCATCCGTCGGAGCCTGATATATTTGTATTTTTATATGCATATGGTTAGGGAGTACATGATATGAGTTTTCCTTACTGATAGTACATATTTGTATTTGTATTCACATCTGTCATTAGTAAACAAGTGTGAATATGGTAACTACCATATCCAACCGTATCCAATTAGTTTTCATCTCTAATTACAACTCATCCCTAGTTTACACTCAAAAGAAATCATACCCCTAAACAAATCAATGATTGTAATAAAATTAGTGGTCTTGCTACTTTTTTTTTTTATCAATGAAAAAAATTATTCATTTACCAAATGAGCTTGCTACTATTTTTTAATAGTAAAGAGAATCACAAATATGGTTTGCACCTCTGACTACAACTCGTCCCTAATTAATCTATACTCAAAAGAAAATCACACCACTAAATAAATCAATGGTTGCAATAAAACTAGTGGTCTCGCCACTATATTTTTGAAGATCCAAATCCCAAACACATACACACAAAAGAGATCTAGTTACCATAAATTTTCTTGTAATCTATTATTTGAGCTTACTATGCAATATCTTACACTTATATTAGAAAAAGAGAACAATGAGTAATCCACTCATACGAGAGGATTCTCTCATTAAATATTATGTGGCTCAGTTTCAACCAAATGAATAAAATAGGAGAGAGAATCCTAGTAACAACATTGAGTGAGATTTAGTCACATCATTGTACATGAGAGAATGCTTTCATATCATATATAATACTCATCTCATATAAGAGAATAAAAATTAAAATAATCTTACTAGACAAATTGGTGGCTTGTGTTGAGTTAATAATTGCTGCAAAACCAGAGAAGCTATGCCTATAGCTATATAGCATTGCTTCTTTTGCTTCATCTTCTCTGCAAAAGGAATTAAGAGTACAAGTAATGAATTAATGTTCAAATACAAGCTAGCTAAGTTGTAAACAAATTAGGCAGATACTATAGTAGGAGAAACGAGAGTACTTAGAGAAGACGTCTGAGAGGAGTTGGATATGACTTTGAGTGGTGAGAAGAGGTTCTTGGCCTTTGTTGTAGCCCAAGTAGACAATGTATACCTGATCAGGAGGGGAAATTGAGGAATGCAGATATGAACAATGATGCTTATTCTTTAAATTTGCAGTAAAATGCTGCTAAATATTTGTACGTACATGAGATGGGTAAGTAGATGCAACAGATGGGAGTAGTGAGAGATAAGAGAGGAGGATGAAGAGCCCTAGAACAGTAAGAGAAATATTAGGAAAGACCATTGCTTAGTTAAAATTAGTTAACCTTGCACAAGTAATATAGAGATAGCATCAACCATGAGGGGGTTATTTATATAGAGATGGGGGGATGAGTACTGTTGGAATGAGAGCATAGAGATAGCATGGGTGCAGGGTGCCTTGCATTACAAGCATGCTATTTTGCATTATGGTAGCTATGTTTAGCTAGGTTTTATTGTAGCTATACCTAGCATCTCTCTCTCTCTCTCTCTCTCTCTCTCTCTCTCTCTCTCTCTCTCGATGTCAAGCAGAAAGCTAATTTTTATCATGTTATCTACGGTTAGCAACTTCTGATCGACTTGGCAACTCTATAAAGTTTGGAACTGAATTATATATGCATTAGTACTAAATGATAGCTTTTGTTCCCTCAAAAAAACCTAATCCAATGTTTTTAGATCTATAATGATTTTATTTATATAAAAGATTGCATGTGCGCGTACTTCATTACTACTCCAAAAGAATTTATTTAATATCAGTCAAGACTTTGTTCCTTCGCAACTAGGTTGACTTATTAGGGCATCTAATTAGGCAAGTTAAGTGGCTGAGCCTTGATTTTGTCCCGGTTGTTTCTCCATATAACTTATGAGCTTATTAAATTTGGTAATCTCTAGGATTATTAACACTGCCTAGTGATGTCTTGTCCTAATTTTAGTGGTTGTAGTAAATACACATAAAAAAAGTAGGGAAAAATGCTTCCAGCCCGCAAAATGAAAGAAAACGTGCTTCCTCCTCCCAAGACTTTTTCAACGGGTGTTTGCCCCCAAAAGTAAACTTTGTGTTCTCTGAGCCCCAAAACACAAAATCCAAGAGATTTAAATTCGTGAAGACCATAATACCCTCCATGGCTACCTCCTCCTTCCTCTCCAAACCCAGTGACCGCAACCTCCTCTCCTCCTCCTCCTTCCATGGCCTCAAGCTCTCCTCCGCCTTCAAAACCCAATCTTTTTCCTCCCCATCATCATCATCCTCCGCCCCCAAAATCTCTGCCTCTTACGACCTCTCCTCCCTCTGCTTCCGCCCCATCAAAGAATGCATCGTCTCCCGTGAGATGACTCGCCGCTACATGACCGACATGATCACTTATGCCAACAGCGACGTCGTCAGCGACGACTGCGGCACCGGATCCGTCGGCCTCTCTTGTGCCTACGAGCTTTCCAAGAACCCCGACATCAACATCTCCATCATCGAGCAGTATGTCTCCCTCGGCGGCGGCACCTGGCTCGACGACCAGCTCTTTTCCATCATGGTCGTCCGAGAGCCCGGAGAGCCCGTCCACCTTTTCCTCGACGAGTTCGAGGTCCCCTATGACAAGCAGGAGGATTACGTAGTCATCAAGCACGCCGCCCTCTTCACCTCCACCATCATGAGCAAGTTGCTGATGTAGCCCAACGTGAAGCTGTTCAACGTGATGGTGGCGAAGGATTTGATAATTAAGAATAGGAGGATCGGGGGGTCGTGACGAACTGGGCGTTGGTGTCGATGAACCTTGGCACCCAGTCATGCATGGACCGAACGTGATGGAGGCCAAGGTCATGGTTAGCTCTTGTGGGCATGCATGATGGGCCTTTTGGGGGCACTGGGGTTAAGAGGCTGAGGAGCATTGGGATGATCGACACCGTGTCTAGGATGAAGGCGCTCGATATGTTAAGGTTACATGTTAGTTGTTAAGGTTACGGTTTGGTTGTTAAGATTATAGTTTGGTTGTGAAGGTTACGGGTTGGTTGTTAAGGTTACGGGTTGACTGTTAAGTTACGGGTCCGTAACCTTAACAACTAATGCGTAATAGGTGAATTCTCATAAACAACAATATTAGGCAATTGAAAAGCTAAAAAACAAAAAAAAATGAATATTATAAAAATATTTTTAGAATTCAAAGGCTTCACAACCAAAGCGTAACCTTCACAACCAAAGCTTATCCTTAACAACAAATCCGTAAGCTTAACAACTAACCCGTAACATTAACAACCAACACGTAACATTCACAACAAATGTGTAACCTTCACAACCAACGCTTATCCTTAACAACAAATGTGTAACCTTAACAACCAAGGTGTAACCTTCACAACCAACGAGTAACCTTAACAATCAACCCGTAACCTTCACAAACAAAGTGTAACATTCACAACCAACCATTATCCTTAATAACAAATATTCTAAAAAATTTATTAGAATTCAAAGAGCTCAAGAGCCCCAAGGCCCAAGGCCCATCAAAGACCCTTAAATATATATTGTGGCTATAGGGGTTTGAACCCCTAACCTCTTGTCTAACCTCCCAAACATTACCACTAGGCCAAGTAGCCCAAAGTATTCATGTCACTCAAAATATATATACATATATAATGTAACGTGTAACCTTCACAACTAACCCGTAACCTTAACAACCAACTCGTAACCTTAACAGTGGACCCGTAACATTAACAATTAACATGTAATCTTCACAACCTATAACCTTAACAACCGACCCTAATCTTAACAACCAAGCCTAACCTTAACAACCTACCCTCTCCCCCTCATGGCTTTAACCCATAACCTTAACTAGCAACCGATAATCTTCACAACCAATGCATAAACCAAGACCTCAAGTTGAAGCCTTGAGGGGGAGAGATGTTGAGCAAAGACCACCACAGATTAATTTTACTCACACAAAAGTTGCCTACTATATCATACATTGCTATATATGTTTCTGAATCTTACAAAAAAATCAGTAAGAAAAAGGAAAATTACCCAACAATTAACCCTTCAAAAAACAAAAAACAAGATTAAAATCACTAACAGGACACACTTCCTTCTTCCACCTCCTCATTCCCTTCAAATGCTTCAATTTTCACACAATATTTTACCTAAAAATTCTTCTTGCACTCATCAACTAGCCCCTTAAGCTGTCCAGCAAACCGATTCACCATATCCCTCCTTCCAGTCACCAAACAAATAGTGAGAAACCTCGCCAAGAACCTCATATGCTTGTTCATCAGCCCCAATTCTTGTTGTCCTTGCCCTAACCCTAATCCCTCCCCTCTAAAGTACTCTCTGCTCAAGACCACCTCATAGAACACAAACGCCTCCGACAAAATCGACAGCGAGGGGATTGACGGAGCTTCGGCGGTGGTGGCGGGGATTGACGGAGGTCAAGCTTCTCTACTAGGATTGATGGAGGAAACTCTTTCAAGACATACAGATATAAAAGAGAGAAAGAATGGTATTATAGTCTTCACGAATTTAAATCTCTTGGGTTTTGTGTTTTGGGGGCTCAGAGAACACAATGTTTACTTTTAGGGGAAAACACCCGTTGAAAAAGTCTTGGGAGGGGGAAGCACGTTTTCTTTCGTTTTGGGGGCTGGAAGCATTTTTCCCAAGAAAGTATAAATATTCATAAAGTTGGTAATCTAGTAGTCTCTTGTGATATCATTGGATATTATCTAGCTCTGCCACTGGGCACATTGCAATGATTCAATTGTAGTTCCTACACTATTTCTTCACTATAAGATATAATTATATGGGATATCAATTTGTGATGCCCCTGATTTCGTACATGGTTATAGTCCAAGGTGAACCCAAATATGTCAAACCTGTCATGCACCGACACTATGCAACAACATGTTTCACCATCACAAAAATATCTCTCTAGTAGATGACAAACAATAAGAAGTGAGGGTACAAGAAGATAGAACAAAGATGATAATACAAAGAACACAATGTAGAGAAGAGATATCCAATAATTAATATAATCATGTTCCAACATGAGAAAAGAAAGTACATCTGATAAACTAAAATAAGAATAATAAATCTCTAATACAAAAGAGTCAACTGAAAAGTACATAGGCTCTCAGTCTCTAAACAAAAAAAACAGAGAAATACAACTTTAAAAGACTAAAATCATAAAATCTATTGTAGAGCACTAACTATCTACTAATCCGTCAACTTGCACTCTCTGAACCCCTGACTCGCTACCTGAAAAAAATAGAAACAACGAGCGTCAAAGCCCTAGCGAGAACATCTCCACTGCCCAGGGGGAAAGGGTTAGGTGTATAAAATATTAAGCATATGCATATATAAATCATATATCCTTAACTAAGAGAAGTTAAGATTTAGAAATCTACAACACGAGAACGAGTATATCGAGCGAAATAATCCAAATAAGGAAACCCTCATATATATATCACGTATTTCAAATTGTGGATCGCTAAATATCAACTCCAAAACCCTAAGAAATAAATATACAATAAAGAACCATCAACATCTCATCCAAAATATGTCGTATATCTCATATCATAGTATCTCACACTACCCTCGGGTAGGTTGGCACGGAAACAAAGGTACAATCATGTGAAAACATTGTCAAAGTATATACCGTCACATAAGAATATCACATGATGGACTACGTCCACAAATTATACTTTCCTAAGTCCTAGGCGTCCTAAATATATAGAGTGTAGTCATCCGTAGTATCATGCGGCTCATGGACTAACCCACTCGGAGTATAGTCGCCCGCTATATCATGCGATGCACGGACATTCACACTCAACCACCCAAAATAGTAATGCATCATAGTGTGTAGTCGCCTGCATTCTCATGCGGTGCATGGAATAACTCACTCAGAGTGTAGTTGATCACGTTCTCCTGCGGTGCACGGACTAACGCACTCAAGCATCCAAAACTACTATAAACCAAAACAAATGTCACTTCCTACCATGACAAAACTCAAAATATTAGACTACGCACCTCCAAAAGCTTGTGCGTGCTCAACCTAATACATGCACTCTCATGGTCACATAAGTGTATCGATGTTCAGCTCGTACTTCGTGTTTGTGACCAAACGCATGTATATGCAATACATCCCAAATCAAATGACTGAAACATCACATCGGTCGACCGACGATGACGTGCACAAACATGTACACACAAACGATCCTCAAACAATCGACCGATACTTACGTCAGTCGACCGACCAGAAAGAAGTCCTAGGTTTCCTATGAACCAATCGGTCGACTTATTACTTTGATCG